GGCGGGGGGGGGGGGGGGGGCAGGAGCAGGGAGAGGGGGTTTGCAGGAGACACAGACACGCAGCGGTGACCAGGCAGGAGTGGTGCCCATGCAGAGTGCCAGGACACAGGTGACTTTGGGCACAAAACCCTCCCGTGTGCATGGTCGGGAGCACAAACCAGTTACCAGTGTTACCAGTCACGGGCTCGCCCTGACCGCAGAAGATCCCCCTCAGGCCTGGCCACCCCATGGCAGCTTGGGGCAAGGAGCTGCCGATGGCTGGTGCCCCGGACCACGCATTGCATCCCTGGCAAGCACCCGCTACCTGCCCTGCAGCGTGCCACCTACCTCCTTCCACGGGCGCAGGGCGAGGGAGGAGGCTGCTCCCTCCGGCGTCTGCCGGGGCCCGGCCGGGATGAGTCAGGCTCCTTTCCCAGCCGGGCAGTGCCAGGGAGAAGGGACCCCGCTCCGGGAGAGCAGGGCGACGGCGAGAGGCGACGCCGGGCCGGAGCCACGGGAGAGGCGGCCGGGGGATGCTCTCCCTCCTCCCGCATCACCCGCAGCCCGGGCCGCAGCGCCGGAGGACCCGCTCCCCGCTGGGCTGAGAAGGAAGGATGGGGCTGGGGAGGAGGAGAAATGCTGGGGGAGACTCGGGCTGATGTCTGTGAGCTCGGGCTGATGGAGATTTATGGGATTTTAAGGCTCCACAGATTTACCGGCGTGCCCACCCCAGGCTCTGGGGGCTGGTCGCTTGTCAGCAGCGGGATGGAGGCAGAGGGAGGGAGGGGTGGAAGAGGGAGGGAGGTTAGTACTCCCTTTAGGAGTTTTATGCAAAAATAAAATAATCAACACTTTGACCGAAAGTATCTTGCAGCAGAAAACTGAGAAACATTGCTGTCTGAAGTAATATTTTTGCTCTCAGTGTTTCCTGAATCCATACCTGGCTCTGCTGCTGCTGACAGAAGGCGTTTCATTAAAATATTTTCAGCTTTTCAGCAGCACAGAAATAGGAACGACCAAACTGTTTTGTTTTTTTGGTTGTGGGTTTTTTTTGTACACAGGGAAATTTTCACTGTGACCCAGAAGTCGTTTAGTGCAAAAATGTTGTAACAAAATCAATCAAACAACTGGCTCCAGCCCTGAGAGCTGCCTGCTCTCCTGCCTGAGCTCTCCAGCCCTGCTCACTTGGTGTCTGACACCTACGGCTCTGCAGGTGCGCCGCAGGGGGGTGGTTGTAGAGGCTTGCGGGGCTAATAATATCCACCAAACTGTCTGAGCCCCGAATTTGTGCCCGCTACACACCTATGCCCCAGGAGCCACGAGGTACGAGATTTGGCTTCCCAGTAGATTGCGTTTCAGGCATAAGTGGGTTCGTCCCCTGCCCAAGCCAACCTGTGGATGGTGACAGAGCCCCCATGCGCTTGCTGGCTCCAAAAGTAATGCACCCAAGGGGTCTGTCGCCTGGTCTGCCCCAGGGTTTCATCCATCAGTGCAGAGACAGGGCTGTGCTGGGAGCTGTGGGAGCTGGCTGGCGCACTCTGTGATTTCCTCCTCATCCTCCTGAGCCCCACTGCTGCTTGATGTAACATCGTAATAGCTTAGAAGCATTGAGTATAGGCTTGTGGTCCCCCTGTACCTAGCAGGACATCTGCACAGAGGATCAGATCCATTAGGATTAGCTAGCTGCTTCTTGGTTTGCTCCAGCAAGGTGGGCACTCCAGATGATTGCCATGTGCCTCCAGAGAGAAGCCTGCAATCGTGCCTTAATTTTAACCTCACTGAAGTTCAGCCATGATACCCACCTTGACCATCAGAACAGTAACTGCTTCACTAATCCCACTGCAGAGGGAGGAAAACACAAGCCTCATGGTTTTGACTGTACTGGGAGACACACATGTGGTTTGGACAAACGAAAAGCCAAACAGATTTTTAAAAAATAACATTGAAAAGATATTGTTTATTGTGTTCCCAGAGCAAACCCTAAGGGCAGGCAAAGACGCAGTACATTTGAGAGGGCAGAAGGGAAACCACTTTCCAGGCATGCAAAGAAAATGAGAGGAAGATCAGTGGTGGCCGGCACAAGGCAGGAGACTTTTCATTTTTCCAGGAGACCGGTCAGTGCTGGAGCCACAGGCCACCCTGGTAGGGCCTGCTGGGCCAGGCGTCCTCGAGGACACCATGCTGAAATGGGTAAGATCCTCTCCCATCCCCAGCCAACCATCCCAGCTCGCTGTCATAGGTCACCCCAGGGGGACACCAGAGCCAGTGTGCGTCCATCAGGCTGCAACCTCTCCCTGGGTTTAAGCTCAGGCTTAATGCTAGCATGCTGCTCACGCAGCCAAAACCCCAGAACAGCAATAGTTTTGTCTCACAGGGTCATTTTTTCCCCCTGGCATGCAAGCACTGGGAGGGCATGGCGAGGAGTGGGGATCACCTCCTTCTGCAGCCACCACCCCACTGGTGGGCTTGTGCAAGTCACGACATGGCAGGCAGCCTCGCTTGCTTCTAGAAGAACCAACCCCCCCAGCTGAGTTTGAAGCACCCTTGGAGGCAGCGGGAAATCAGCATTGGGCTTTGTGCTGCCGGAGCTGGGACACTCTTGCAGACCCCCTGCCTCCGACACCGTGGCTGCTGCTTGCTGCCTGTGACAGGGCTCTCAGGTGCTGTCACATCCTTTGGTTTCTGACAAGAGCTGCAGCGTCAAGACGGCTCCAGGCATCGACATGCCTCGAACAGCTTGAACCGCATGGAAACGCTTCAGCTGCAGTTCAGCTTTCACTACGAATAAGGCTGCCGTGTGCCACTCAGCATCTTCCAGGCACGAGCGCGTGCATATCATCCTGCCCGCTGCCTGGGGGGCTTCAGCCCCTTCCACCTGCCTCGGAGGAAGCCCCTGAGCAGCTACACGTACGCAACCCCCCCGAAGCCATTTGCCCCAGGATACCTGCCCACCACCAAGCCTCCGACTCCATCCATATCTCTGGGCAGCCACAAATTCACCTGTGCGATGAAGGCAAGTGCGGGGTCAGGTTTGATGTGAGAGGGCCGCCCAGCCAGAGCAAAAATCACGAAACCCTTCTCAGACAAAAGCCCTGGCTGGAGAAAGAAGAGGTAGTTGGGCAACCTCAGGCGCATGCTTCTGGCTGGTAACATGCCCATAAATCACAGCATGAACGACACTCTGAGCTCAGCTTAATCCCAAGCCTGATTAAGTGTTATTCCAGTTTTTCTTAACAAGTTTCCTCGCTGTTCTACCGTGTCTTTTAGGCTTTTATCAGCATCTTCTGAGATGATCAGACACAAGTCTCTGCCTGTCTTTAAGGCAATACCAATCCTCCAAATACTACTCTCCGAAGGTAGGTAGAGGCATGGGAGAAGATGGACTTTATCAAACTAGCCTCCTCCACGGTCCTCAGTAGAGGACAAAACTCCAGCAAGAGTCACAGAAATACTTCCCTGCTCAGCTGCTGGAGGTGACGGAGTTGCTGCAGGATGCAGAAGGCACCCTGGATGCATGGCAGGACATCAGTTGGATACGCCGGTGGGAAAGCAGAGTCACCTGCCTTCTGGGTGCTACTGCAGCTTCAAATAAGGAAACCCATTTGAGAAGCTTTGCTGAGTTAATGAAAAAGCTAAGGATATGTGTATGGTGAGTTAAATTAAAGAGCAGAATGGAAAAAGATGACTTACTTTGGGTCTAACAATAGCTGGAGAGAGCCTTTGCCAAAGGAAGCTGAAGTTGCCAGGAACATATGTGGAAATGTCATTAGTTTCCCTAATAATTTGCACTTGCTGCAAATGATACCATTTTTGTCTATTAGTAAGAGAACAAGCACAGTCAAATACACACGAGTTTGTATTCTGCGCGTTTCTTAGGCAGCACTGCAAGAGGTCAGCCCGGAGCCAGCGATGCATGGCCAGGCGACGTCTCACAAAACTCGTGCTGAACAGGGCTGGGATGAAGCCACCGCTGCCAGGAGGTCTAGGAGCAGGTGCTGAGACAACTGGGACCATGCTGGGGTCAGTGCTGCTCCCGAGACCATCTCTAAAGCCTGTCTCCATCACTCCTCTGGCTGCTTGGGGAGAGCCGAGAAAGAAATCAGAGGGAAAATATCCCGAGATTCAGTCACCAACCTGCTGGATGAAGCACACAGCAAATTGGCCAAGGATATCCAAAGACAATGTGTGTTGTGCAATATTTTTTGCAGCAACCAGTGCTGTCCTGCTGCAGGAGCGACTGCATCATTCCCAGGGAGCAGTGCTGATGGCCAGGCCAAGTCTCGCTGATGCCAATTGCCTTCATTGGCAGCACCAGAGCACCTTCATAGGGACAACATTACACTTTTACTCATTTTTTGAATGATTTGTGCTACCGGAGCAATGTACAATGGCCCACAGAGTAAAATCAGGAGCCCTCCCCTTCCGTGTCACGCCCTGGTCTCGCCCCTTCTGCCTGCGCCGGGGACCAGTGCGCTGACACCCCTGCTTCAGCTCACCTGCACCACTTGGAAGCAGAGATCGACTCATTATTCCCATTTTGCAAACTGGAAACGGGGTGGAGAGGTGAAACAGCCTGACATAGTCACACAGTGATATGTAAAATACACCCCAGCCTCCAACATCAGCCATGCCTCATCCCTCTCCCCTCCTCTCCCTGCCGAGCTACAGATCTAGGCAAGAGCTGCAGGCACATTGCCAGCCTGAGACTCCACCTCCTTATGCCATCCTCTACCATGAAAAACAGGTTTTAAATGCTACCCTTTAACATTAGATCTGTTTTACACCCCTTGGCCCATGGGTAAATAGCCAATGAGGCTGCAGGACAATGACTCCTCTTCTCCCCCCTGGTTCCCCACAGAGCTGAGCTTGCTCTGCAGGCTTTGCACCCCCGGCGGAGCATCCCTGCCTGCGTTTCAAAGAGGAAGGAAAGCAAAGCAAATCTGCCTGGCACAGCTCGCCGTGCCAGCTGTCGGGCAATGGCTTTGCATCCCAGGAGGAAATTAGCTGTGCCAAAGCCTGGACTTTCAGGCAGGGACCATCAGCACTACCACTGCCCCCCTCTGAGTCACCCTCAGGTGGGCCATGCACCCGAGGGTCCTTCGTTAGTAAGGGGCCAAGGGGGAGGCGTCCCCCCGGTGAAAGGGCGCAGTGAAGGTGGGGCAAGCAGAGGAGGGAGCAGAGCGAATCTCTGTGTCCCCACAGGAAGGTGAGGCTCAGCCCTGTGGAGGGAAGCCTGCCAAGGGACGGCCAAGAAACCTGCTGGGGACAAGGAAAAATAACTGTGGGATCGGTGGTAGCTTATCTGGACATGCTGAACATCGACAGGCACCGCTGTCACCAGAAGCCTGCAGCAAGAGAGGGGACAGCGAGCATGTGCCCAGCTGGACACTGAAACCACCCAGGTCCTTCTGCAGGGCCGGCGAGCCAGCAACAGGGAGTAGCAGGGGGATGAAAGAGGAGAAACACAGTTTAGGTGAGTGCTGCAGCTTTTAGCGTATTTCTATACCCTCAGCAGCCCAAAAGCAGCATTGTCCAAATTGCTCTCTATGCCCCCCCGACCTGGGAGCTGGCTCTTGTTATTTATCTCATCTGCCTGCCTCCCACCTTTAGGACACGTCTGCCCTGGATTCGTCCTCCCTTCCCCCCGCCAAACTCAACAACAACCAGAAATATCCTGTAATCTCTTCTGCTTCACCTGTAATTTGTCTCATGCTGGCAACGAGCGGAACCGTCTGCCTTTGTCAAGATCAAAAAAGCCACGGCAGCCATGTGATGTCAGCTTACATTAAACCCCCCCTCTTTCCCCTCCGCCTCCCCTCTCCAGCTCGATGCAGAGGGGGAGATGCGTCTTCATCCTCCTGCAGCCTTCGTCCTCCCCCCGGCACATCTCCCGCCATTCGGAGGTGCCCTGGTTGACGGGGCAAGGAGGGCCAGCCCCAGCAGGCAGCTGAGGGGGTCCCGGACCCTCCTCCGCACCAAGCTGGAGCCGAACCCGGCGATGAGGCAAAGAGCAAGAGATGCAGCAAGGTGGACCACAGGCCACCGAGGGACGTCGGACCTCCAAGGGCTTTACATCACTGCGCGTCATCCTCCCGCTCTGACCTTGGAGTGAGGAAAGCTCAGCCTGCATCCGTAACCGCAGTGCTTCTGAGCCGGCTCCTTCCTGCCTGTATGGTGGGTGGAGGAGCGCCCGGCTGGGCAGAGGCCGGCCGGCCAGCGGGGCGAGGGGGAAGGTGCCCAGGAAAGGGCAGGATGGAGGTCGGGGCTGCTGGAGCCGCTGCAAAACCTCGCACGGAACAAGTCAGCGTGCGGTTAGGGAAATTCCCTTCCCTAGCTATTGTATCAAGCAGTCTTTATAGTATGAAAGCGTATTCACTTTGTTAACGTGTATGAGTTCACGTTATAGACCGCGATGGAAGGAGGCAGTGGAATTTTACTGGAGCCTTTGGTATTGTTCAGGCTTGAGCAAACGAAGGGACACCACCAGCTCGCCGCCAGGACCAGGGGGACAGCCCAGCCCTGCAAACAAGGACTTTGCTTTTTGGAAGCTTAGGGCTGCCCGTGCTACCCCTGGGCAGCCAAGGTGAGGCCAGCACCCTACCCCCCTCACACCTCTCCGAAACCCTCGCCAGCGTCGCCGGGCGCCACCGACAGGGGCCTGGGGGGCGCCTGACCC